TACTGCCTTTATTATAGAAAGATAAGCCATGAACTATAACGACATGTTTGGCAGCTAGATTAAATCCTAAAAGTTGTAATTGGTTTGTTTGTTATTTTATGTAGAAAAGGGCTATCTCTCCTCTTTTAGAAATGGCATAAGGAACAGATTTAGTTTAAACTTCTTTTAACTTTTAAATATTCTGTTATAATGAATATGTACATGCAAACAGGATACTGTTAATAGCTTGCATGCTTAAAATGAGATGCAGTTCTGTGGTTGATCTATGTAGCAGATACATGATCCTGTAGACTTGCCGATATATTGACATGTACACACGATCCCCCATAATTTAGCCCAATATTGATTTGCCAGCCTGTTAGCCTAATGCAGATGGAGAGTAACCTTTGCCAGTGAAATACCATGACGGCAACCTGCGCCACAGAATCAATAACACAGGACATTATTACAACTCGTAATCTGCAAGCTTGCCTCTACTGCGCCGGGCTATACCTACTCCTCTACGCAAAGTATTGGTATACGGATACATGTGTGAAAGTAGAATAGAGACATGTGCACATCCAGCTCCTTCGGAAAGGTCGAAGGTTAACCGTGTATCTGGAATAGTGCTGTATCCAAAAGGTCAACTGTCAGGACCATCCGTCTGGAGCCAAAGCTATTTACTATTTCAAGGTTTTGGTTAACATCATTTTTTTGTAATTAGGGAGCAGAAATGTTTACATCTTAAATAATATATAAATAAATAATATGGTTATTTATATAGTGCCGGTATCCATCATGTAATGTAGTAAGGCACAGTCACGATTATTATTGTTTTGAGCATTTAGTTTGGCAATGATTGCTCAGGAAGTAACCTTTTCAAAGGCTAAAAAACATGTTCATGAACATATTGATGTTTAATTGTTTATGTTCCCATATAAGATCTATACTTCCTGATCTTGGCTACAAAATATTGTTTTGTTGGGAATTCCAAACAGATACAATAACATTTAAGACAAAGTGAAGTGAAGTCCTAGTTTCTCACCCTTGACCATTTCATTTTTTCTGCCTGCCTTGTGTTTTTGTTGTTGTGTTACTTGATATTTCTAATTTACATGAACAAACAAAATATAGAAATGTATCCATATCTATCATATGTTATGACATAAATATGTGCTTTTTGAGCCTCTGTTATTTAGACAAATGAAATAATGAGTTGAAACTGACCTCTTTTGGATTTGCAGTAGCTGTTTTTGGAAAAACAAAGATAAAATGAGTAGGGTCCCTCATCTTCTAAAGTCTACATGGCAAAATAGGATTCCACTTGGCCTTATGAATTTATGTTTGTAAAAAAAAAAGGTATTCAACATTACATTTGAAAAATATTTTTCTAGCTGCCTGTATGTTATATCACAAAAACCAGAAAAACAGGAAGTTCACATTCACACCAGCCTTGGGTGAAGATGAAATTTCCTTTTTCCATTTTTTCCTTCAGTTTTATTCTTTGTTACATTGAAATCAAATCAATAAATACAATGAATAAATGAATGATAAACTGTAAAGTGCATGCTCCACACAAAGGCTAGCATTGGTTTGCAAAGTCTCATTTTAACTGATTAATTGTAAAGATAAAGGTGTAGTGTTGGTTATAACTTCCTTCCCCCCCCCCTGAAAAAAAGGAAAAAGGAAGAAAAGAGGGCAATGAAGAAAGAAAAGAAGTTCTAGACTGTTATGTAGGATGTGATATTAATCTGACTTTAACCCCTGAGCAAATGAGTTCTTGAAGGAATATACTTTGACAGAAATGGCAGTTATTGTTAGGGTCATGTGTCTCATCTGACATCCAAAATAATTTATTTTGCCAAGATTATCTTCATTATTAAAGAGTGGAGCAAAATTGTAAACTAAAATTACCCACACATTCTAAATGTGATAAAGATCAGTGATAAAAACCACATGCAAGGTTTCATTTCGCTGACATGGCTAATTATGTTATTAAAGCGATGTCAAGTATTTGCACCTTTTCACCCAAGTTCTATGAGTGTCCTTACTTACCCATTAACTTAAGAGTTTGAGAGGCCATACAAATCACTCTGAGACGCCATCTTATTTTTTCACTGAATTAGCAAAAGGTTAACATTTTCTGAAATTAGAAATGAAAATAAAATAAAAACACATTTCATTGAAAAGATTGAGTTTCATCATAAGTGATGACATTTTTTTTTGTGTGATGCATACAGCTCTTTCGTGAAAAGCTGGGCATGATTTTGTTATGTTGTTGTTAAGCTGATAACTGATTTCCAAAGTTTAGTGGATTATTTTTTATGAATTTTCATTTATGAATTCTGTCATGAGAAGAAAAAGAGGAAAAGGAGGAGGAGGAGGAGGACAAGGAGAAAAAGAAGAAGAAGGCAAAGGAGAAGATGAAGTAAAAGAAATAGAGGAACAATAACAAGACAAAGTGGAGGAAGGAGAAAAAAGAGGAGGAAGATAAGAAGGAGGAGGAGGAAATTAATCAATAAAGAAAGGAAGGTAATGGAGAAAAGAAAAGTGTTCTCTGTGTAAAGGCACACCACTTGTGAGTCATGTTGTGCATATCATTTTGACTGCACTGGATGCACCATTGCACTAGCGTGGTGTGGATGCATTTCCAATTCTCCATGTACACGTACTTATGCATCATCTGTTGACATAAGGGCATTAACTCATCTATTTTACATATAGAGTTGATGCCATTTTTGGCTCTCAACATTTAGCCTTTAAAAATAAAAAATGAAACCTTGAAATATGCAGTCAAACAGAAATGTATATCTGCTTGCTCAGCATAAACGACAGTAGGAATAATTCAAATATACAGGTACTTCTATTATCAATCAGATTTCAATGGATAGAACATGAGCCATTTTTATGTTATTTCTATTATTCTGTACTAATATATATGGTAATTTAGTGACTTTGTAGTAAACTTGCCGCTGATTGAAACAAATGAAGAACCTTTGACAATGCACTTGTTCAGTTTGTAATCTGTTGACTTTTTAAAAAATCATAATAGTTTTGTATACTAGATTACTCCGGGTACCTGCTGTGTAAATTTACAGGAAACATGATAATGGCTGATATAATTAGTCCAGAAAATTATGCAAAATTTGTCATATTGCTGAAAAGTTGTGTGTAGTACCAGTGCCACATCAGCTAAACCAAGCAGCAAATTCATGTATTTCATGGTCATACATTTATATCCGCAGTAGTATAGAGTTTATTACAATTGTCTTAAATTAATTAATTTATGTACAAAATGCAAACTAAGAGCCCCAAAAGAAACTCAATTGAAGTAGTCTTATGATTCCTGTTTGCAACTAGATCACTCAGCTGTTTGTTAATTAGCAGCAAACACAAATTGTTTTGATTTGATTTGATCATTTTCTTGTTTAGGTACTTTACAAATCATAACTTAATCTTTGTAATATTATGCATATTGCAGTGTTAAATTATTTTCACGAAAGAAATACAACCAGGCCTTTTTTTCCAATTTCATGGTAGAGTCAAATCCTGTTTTCATCAGTCTTTCTCAATATATGAAGGTTTATGAAGGTCATGATATATCTGATGCAGTGCCTTGGGTTTGAATCAGACCACTATGCATAGTGCAATACATCAAGGTTGCGATAGGCACACTGCTAGCTGAATCCTATCTGAGAGGGAGCGGAATACCATCAAATAACTTTCCCAGATTAAAGGGCTACCTATGACGTCAGAAGCTAGGAGCAGAGCGGAGGCAGCCCTCCATGCTGCTTGGAGCCTTCATTCAAATCACACCGGGGCTCTTGTTTATTCATTACTGGAACATGACCCCAAGCAATTTTACATCCTCTGCACACATTGCCCGAGCATCCCAGGCCCCTCCCCCCACCATCCACCATCCACGCTTGTGCCACCACCCTTTACTAAATTACAGCATACTTGGCCACAAGTACTTTAGATCTGACCATAATGGCTTGTGAAAGAACGACTCTAAATTTGAAAGATTATATCTGTGTAGTACTCTCCTTTTTCATCCATCTGCAACCCTTTGTATCATGTAGTCTTCTTTTCCACACTCAATTATGAATGAGAAAATATTTTATGTTTAAACAAATGGGTCTAGCTAGAAACCAGGTCTATTGACTTGTAATGCATTGTAGCACTCTATGTGAGGTCATCGCTTTATGTCAAAAAGAAGATAATGATATCTAATATAGGCCCTTTACAAAAACAAGTACTATTTGCTTTGTGCATATCATTGTTTCTTGATTTTTGGAGAATAACTTTTTAAAATAATATGAACATTCTTGTCTGTTCCCTTAGAACAGTTTTACAGTACATAAGAGTAAAACATTTCACTCAATCTCCCATACATTGTTATTTCCATTAAAGTAGTGTCTTCATTAGATGTGAACTCACTTTCCCACTTTGAGGATATTCCCAAATAGGCAAATAATATTGTTCATGCATGACAAAATATGTAATATCATATTCCTAATGTATTTTGCACTCTTTTCTCTGATTACATTACCTTTACTCCTTCCCAGCCAAAATTGTTCAGGTGTGAAGTATTATGTGTTGCATATCAGGTGGTGTAAATTTCAGATCTACATTGCGTTTGTAGGCAAATAGATACATGGATTGAACAAGTTCAAACAACTACAGTGTACAGGGTCAGTGAAGGTTGAATCGTTGAAAAGATAGATTTTCTGGATAAATTTGCTTACCGGAAGATTGATCTGACACCAGCCTTTGAGTCTCCAATGTAAGTGCTTTGCCCTATCTCACCCCCCCCCCCCCCCCCCTACAAAAAAAAATAAAAATATATATATATATATATAACAATAGTTTTTGCATATCAGAGAAGTAAGATATCAATGTCTGATTTATAAAGTTTATATAAGTAGTAATTCTTGGTATTCATTGTAATCAATCCTTCATTTCCTCTGACGTTCATACCTCATAACATGACATAGCTTCTTCTCTTCTCATGCTTTCAGCTCGACAATGCTGATGAACAGGCCGCCCAGATCAGGAGGGAACTCGACGGAAGACTTCAGCTAGCTGAACAAATATCAAAGGTACACCAAAATCCCTCCACTGAAGAATTATAGACCAAGACAGACATCGAAGTAATCCTAGAATGGTCGGAAAATTAATAGTACAGATTTGCACAGAGTTTTTACAATTCCGATGGGGCCATTAGCCAAAAGTGCAGAATGCGGATTATATGAGATGGACAAAATATGATTTCTTGCTTCCAATGTGTTCTTCAGAAATTGCAAGCATAAAAGGGTGTTGGATTAAGTTTTGCTTTTTAGTCGGAGGATTAACACCATTTATATCTTCTTACAGCAAAATCTCTGATAAGCATTGCCAACTACAACTTTGAACATTGTGACTCCTTTGAACTTTTCATTCAAATCAATAAATCACATGTCAAACAAGTTTTTTTTTTAAATATACCCAAATGTGAGAGTATTCATATTTTTTCCTGAGAGATGGAAGGGCGTTTTCACTATGTAAAATGATTGAACTTGAATAATGTCCATCTGGAGTGGTATTCTGAAAACGATGTTATCTTTAATGATAGTAAAACAATGTAAAACAACTATCATCGGACTGATAACAAGTCATTGGTTAATGTCTGCGCAAAGCTAGCTGCATTCATGTAAAGTTGATAGAGACATCTGCGCAAGCATCAATGGCATGTATTGATTTCATACAGTTAACATAATTTTACCGAACATTAAAGATGCCCTTGTTTTCAGAATATTATTAGGTGGTCTGTTATCAACAGACCACCTATTGTTTTCGTCAGAATTTTCTTTCTTTATTATTTTTATTTATTATTATTATTTATTATTCTTTATTTTTATTTATTGTTCCCACTTTTTTGTGAACAGGATAACTCAAGATCGGTTTAATCAATTTCGTTCAATTTTGGCACAGTCATAGGTCATTGTCATGAGACGTCAGTGTAACATTTTCAAGGTCATCAAGTCTTCATGACGTCATCCAGGCGCCATTTTGTGTTTTTTTTGGTACTTTTTACTCATGATCATATCTTTATAACGAAAAGGCATTTCTCATTCATATTTATCATGATTAAGGTCAATATCCGTCCGGTCAATTTCAAGTCAGAAAACGCACGCGCATGCGTACGTCCGCGCGTCAGCGCGCGCGCAAAAAATAAAAATGCTCAAAATCGTCCCAAATTCATTTTGCATACGTTTTAGGCCATTCTAAGCATTTTTTTAAAAAACGCGCGCACGCACATGCGCGCGCGTTTTCGCGCGTACTGGTATTTTTCAACATAGAATCGCCAAATTTTCTCTGTCATCGTATTTGGCACATTTTTCCAAGCATTTTGTTACCTTTTTCACCTTTTTCTGCCCATTAATAACGGAATGAGCGTCCGTTTAAGATAATTTCCGTGCGTGCGAGCTCTTGTAATACATAGCATACATGGGCAAAAACATGCCTATAAAAAATCCATTGTAGCGCTTAAGGATGCAAGGTGATCCCAATTTTGTTTTCATATTTTGATAGAGTATGAATTGGAGATATGATTTCATGTCTCATTTGACCCTCAATTAACTCATGACGTCATCATAATGGCCTCCGAACTCAAAATTTTAATTTTCATATTTTGACGTCAGCATATTTTTGGAAAATTGATTGTATCTCTGTAAATGTTGACCGATTTTCTTCCAAATTTTGATATGTTCTAGCTGAGACAATTTTCTACAAATGCAGTTTCCACGATTTTTCATTTTGACAAATGGATCATGGCGTAATTTGCGATTAAAGGGGGCATGTCAATTTTTAACATTTTGCGTGTATTCTCTATGGGACATGATTTTTTCTCAAAACTGGATTCTACATTCCCGTCTTTCGCGAGCAATATCTCCGTCGTTTTATCTTTGTTCATGCTGAGCTTTGATTATGTTGTAGCTGAGACAATAAGCTATCATAAGTGTCCCCTTTATTTTTCGATCAGATGCCGGGATCATACTCATATTTCACTTGCAAAGTGGGATTTGAGAATTTCATTTTCCGTTTACGTGTAATCTCTATGGGAAATGTTTTGGTATATCGGTAACGCACTTGACTTCCGACCTCGAGGTCCCTGGTTCGAGTCCGGGCGTCTCCAACAATTTTTTTTTCTTCACTTTTTTTTCTTTTTGACCATTCACTCTACCATCTCCTTTGAATATTAAAACACGTACAATCGCAAATAATGTAATAAACAACCATATTTACTTTATTATTACCCTATTATCACTAGATCCATTACTTTTTGCGTGTAATCCTTATGGGAGATGACTTTTTCTCAAATCTGGATTCTACATTCTTGTCTTTTGCGAGCAATATCGCCGTTATTTCGGCTTGATTTTTGTTGATTTTTGAGTATGTTGTAGCTGAGACTATATACTATCTAAATGTTCTCTCATTTTTTTCAGTCTGATGTCATCGTGGTCTGTTGATGATAATCATCAACATCATCGTGATCATCATCATCATCATCGTCGTCATCCCCATTACTATCAAGATCATCATCATCATCATGATCATCATTGTTTACATGTCTATATAACTTCTCCCTTTCTCAATATAGTAAATATTATAATACATCATAAGACTTGAAGACAGACCACCTAATTCGTCCCCATGACGAATTAAATTTCTAGTTTTTTATTCATGTTTTATCTATTATAATGGATAAAACATTGGAAGGTAGTCTGGTTCAGTTAAGAGAATCTGCTTTCCAACAGAGCTTTCCGAATGATACAAACAAAAACATAAAACATAAAAACAAAATATGAATGAAAATATGGCACCTAGTTCTCTGTATACGATCTGTAGATCTGGTGGTTAACTTCTAGACTCTTTTTACCCTTTTCTTTTGTTGTCAATCCATTTGTCCACTTTTGTGATATCAGAACATGAGCTATCATGAGCTGTGAAGCTCTATAAAGCCTCTCTCACATTTACAATGGATTTTTCCTGTTGTTAATGAAAACTGAGTCTGGAGTAGGTAATGTAAGCCCTAGGATTACCAGTAGATTAGTCTACCTTTCTCCTAGGGGCTGTTTCACAAAGATCCTAAGTCGAACTTAACTCTAAGTTGGACTTAAAAAATTATGGAGAGCCATTTGTAGCTTTAAACTGAAGTATATTCAAAAGCGAAAGTTCAAGTATTTTAGACTTTTCATAAATTCCACATCAAGAACATGAAATCTCCTTGATAATAGAAAACATAAAGGATTTGAATCAACATTTTATGCCTTTTAAAATAACTTTTTACAAAATATTTTCATAGATGCTAACGGCTTTCCATAATGGTTAAGTCCAACTTAGAGATAAGTTAAACTTAGGATCTTTGTAAAACACCCCCTCAGACTTAGTTCAGCAAATTTTAGCTTTAAGATTATGAATAATTTTCTCTTGGAGAGCCAGAGGGTGCTAATTCTGTGCTAAAGTCTGAATTGTTTTTAACATCCATCTGGCTCTCATCAGACAAAGTCATTGTGTACTTTGGTTGAGGAATCCTTTCAGGTCTCGGCAACATGAATATTTCTTTTCTACTTTCTCCAGACCAAGAAAGGTCCCAAGTTCATCGTGAAGGAGATGGAGAGTATGTACGTGGACGAGCTTCATTCGGCTGTTAACCTTCTCATGGCAAACCTGGAAAGTTTACCTGTCTCTAAGGGCAACACAGACTCCAAATACTCCCTGCAGAAACTGAAAAGGTAATTCATGACAGTTTTCTCCCATTATCTTACCATAGTGACACAACAAATATTCAATTTTAATTGAATGAAATGATGGGTTAATGTGACTCTATTATTTTTTGTGCAATGCAATTTGTAGTGGAGAAAAGAAGATGGCAGCAAGAGATGAAGAGAGTGGGAGGAGGAGCAAGGGAGTGAGGGAGGGACAAGGGAGTGAGGGAGGTTGAGGGTGAGAGAACTATTGACAGAGTAGAAGATTGAGAAGTACAGAAGAGAGTAGAGTTAGCAAGGTAAGAGATGAGTCAGAAAAAAGAAATAGACAAATTGAGAGATGAGGTTTAAGAGATTAGAATAGGAAGAAGAAGGGGGAAAAATTAAAAATCAGAAAATGGAGAGAGAAAGATAAAAGAGAAGAGAAGAGAAGAGAAGAGAGGAGAGGAGAGGAGAGGAGAGGAGAAGAGAAGAGAAGAGAAGAGAAGAGAAGAGAAGAGAAGAGAAGAGAAGAGAAGAGAAGAGAAGAGAAGAGAAGAGAAGAGAAGAGAAGAGAAGAGAAGAGAAGAGAAGAGAAGAGAAGAGATGAGATGAGATTGAATGAGAAACAGAGAAAGCAACATGAACTCTGGAGGTTTTATAGTCAATAGTAACCCAAGAGCAGTGAAAAATAATAACATCAATTGAAAGAATCTGAGAGGAGATAATCAACTAAATTAAGAATTAAAAATATAGTTTTCAAAAATGGAAATAAGATGTTTATGTTCACCTGATGACATAGATTGTTAGTCAGTGATAATTTGCATTTTGTAAAAGCCCTATATATGTTCATATTTGTTCATAGATGTACAGCAAATTTAAATTACAAAGGACCTTTTACATGTAAGTCTTTACTGCTTGCATGAATGTTAATTAGAAAAAGCTTTGATTATAGAATATAGGAAAAGAAAGATTACAAATCTACCCCAAAATTGCCAGTACTCTAGCTCAAGAGTGTCATTTTGTCAACTCTGAGCCCTGTCATAAAACTTGATAGCGATCTCTCATGCATGTCAAGTCAAGATGGTGGAGAGCTAGCAAGTGAAAATGCATGTCCAGTCATCAAAAATGTGTCGCAAACCCCAGGCGCACCACCGAGAGAAAGAGACAGAAATCTTATGACAGGTTTGAACACATACATACAGCAAGCTGCCTCAATTCGCTGGCTGTATTTGCCATTTTCCATGCACTAGTAATAAGAGACCGACGAGCAGCCATATTGACGTCATGCCCATTTCTAAATAGACGTTGATGCTGGCGAGGGTGTGAATTGTGAGCTGTGTATTGGTGGGAGTTAGCCCGCCATTCTATCCCTAGGCACCCGTTCAGTCCATTTTTATCACAGTTTCCATGTAAAGATGTTATTCATTAGCCAAGGTAATTGATATGTGAAGGATAGAGATTAGTGTAGGAAACCATTTAAAGATTATTTATGGAAACTTAAGTTTATTTATGACGTTTAGAGGTACATGTAGATAACTCAAATAAAAGATACAAACATGTTTGTGTAGAGCAAGATTGAATCAGTATATAGAAAAGAGATTTTTTTTTTTAAATACATATTGACGCACAAAGAGACACGGAGATAAAGAGACACAGAGATAAAGACGCCTTGAAACACGCCTACATAAAGTGTTGACTTTACCCAGCACATATTCAAAAGGAAATCATTCAAATTCACTTTACGTCTAAACTGACGTCATTCAAATAGGACTTGAACATTTTCTGTACAACAGGGATCCACTCATGAAGTATGTTAAGATGAGATATCTCTGACGATCTATTGACTAGTTCACAACTTTACAGTCTAAGATTGCAAGCATGCATTAGAAGCACGTGTTGACAGAATGTACACTTTGAAAAGACCGGACTAAACCAAGATGCTGTCTTAAAAACAGTTAAAAGTACTCTGTGTGTAGGGGGAAGGAAAAAAAAAAAGATATGATAAAAAGAAGAAGAAAAAACTGGAAACTAACATATCATATGTTTAAAGTCTAATGTCAAGAGTTAACACCCTCTGTCTCCAAACAGTGTCAATAGGAGGGGAGACATGATTAAATATTGGCAAGGTAGATTGCAAAGTTCACACTCCTGGGAATTTCAAAATTGGAATAAACAATTCTTTAATTTCTTTCATTATTGTATTTTCAATGACATGATTCTTGGTTAAAGGGCTTGATAAAGTGTTTGATAACTTCATTTGGGTTTACATATAAAACAGAATATAATGATATTTTTATTACATCAAGCATCATAGTTTTCAAAGAAAAAATCCAAACTGAGATCTATCGTGGCTCATGCAGTTTTATCCACCACACACTAGTTGTTATAGATTCAACCGACCTCCATTAGCCAGAAGCCACATGCCTTTTCCCATGGTCGCTCCTCTCTGTTAGGTATCATTACATGTTGTTAAACCACAAAATCTGCTGATAAAGTCATCAAACAGATACCAGATAAGAGATAATCCTGTATCATACAGTATCCAGGCAATGGGTGTCATTTCTTAGGTAGTGATGGTATGTCTCAAGGTCTAAATATTTGCTCAGAGATAAGTTGTAACCAGTGGAATAACTCAAGCATGACTACCCGTACTTACATGTAGGATAGTATTCCCTAAATCCCCTTAAAGGGATCGTTTAACAATGTTAAATCTGAGATGCACGGCCCTACGTGTTATCAGTGTCTGTGATATGGTGTAATATTGAAGCCCTACAAAAATTGCGCTTCAAAATGATCAAGAAGTGCCTCAAAAAAGTAAAAATCTTTGAGTGACCGGTTTTACCATACTCATTTTCCCCAATAGACTGCAGTGTTATGAAAACCGTCAGGCGAACGGTTTTCAAAATTTGTAATTCCAATCATAAATATCTTGATAATCAGACAGGCGATCGGCTTGTAAAAGTCATGGGGTTCCTGACTGACCTAAAGGTTTATAATTATCATTGCATCATGAGCTAAATCTTGAATTTTGTTTCAGAATCTGAGACAAAGTTACCGGATCCCTTTAATCCACTCTCCACTTGAACCGGGTGCTTCCCGTATTAAACCTATGGAAAATAATAGAATTCACTAGTCAATGGGTTGATTAATATTGCAACTACACTGTTGCCCATAAAGTTGGGACATGATTTTCCTACCTCTTTTCATGATATGGTTGTGACGATAATGATGATGATGATACACAGCATCTGTATGGTGCCACAGAGCTGCCAACTAGTACGGATTTTCCTTAATTGGTACGGAAATTAACGACCATTACGGAATGTTGTCTCAAATTACGGATTTAAAAAAAAAAAAAAAAAAAAGATTTTTTTTTTTTTTTTTTTTTTAATGAATTAAATATGATTTATCGTAGCGAGTGCTGTGAATAGGAGCCATTTTTCATGATAAACTGTGTTGTGATGACCTGAAATTCAATACTTAACATCTTTGTGTGAGTAAAATCACCAAAAATTTCAGATAATCATGCGTCCGCGCAGTGTTGGCGTGTCGTTTTTTTAGATTCATAGCGCCGCATAAGAAATTACTGATTTATACCCCAAATTACTGATTTTGAGCCTTGTGATTACTGATTTTCTGTTCTGGAGGTTGGCAGCTCTGGTGCCATATATCTGTTTAAAAAACATTCAAAACGCGAGCTCCTCCAATAAAGTTAAGATCAATAAAGTTATGAGAAGTTATGAATGTTTGAAAATTGGATGGATAGTATTTCTTAAAATTTTGGAACATTTGGATGCCCATGTTGATGTATTATATTAAAGCACTAGAAAATTTAGCCCCTAAAACACTTCTGCTTTTGAGAATCTGAATACTGGTAATCAAAATTTACCGGTGCTCCCGGTAAATTTTAAATATATTTCAAATAGCGCCTAAGGCCATTCCATGGTAGCTGCAACCATGACAATCTCAGAATATGCAGTTCTGATATATAATTTTCAAACGGGAATAACAAATCGGTCGATTGTAGTCAAGAAACATTGTTTTAAAGCTTAAGTAATATCAGTCTTGAGAGGGAGCTATACAACATAAACAAATTATTATTTACAATTTCATCACGTCAGACAACAATCATTGAATATTGTAAAATCACATATATGCTTCTGATATTTTCATTTGAACCAAACTCATGAGTCATGACCCCATACCTAAACTTTGTATTACCTTTAATATATGTTTTTATAGTATTGTAGAGTGAATAAATACAGACATTTTTGTTTTTTCTGTCAATATATCCTGAAATCATGCTTTCCATGTGAGTTTACAAAATGTGATATAAGTATATAAAATGAAAAAGTATGAATAGTTTGTGACCTTTTTATGCCTCCGTTTCAAAGTAGCCGGAGGCAGTTATGTTTTCGAGTTGTCCGTCCGTCCGTACGTACGTACGTACGTCCCGTTCTCGTGATCGCGTTATCTGAAGAACCGATTGATGGATTCCTGCCAAACTTTGGTCTTGTATGTATCTTGCAGAGCCGATGAACTGATTAGATTTTGGGGTCACGAGGTCAAAGGTCACAGGGCTCATTATGTATGCAAAAATAGCTTGTGATCGTATTATCATTAGAACAGATTGATGGATTCCTGCCAAACTTAGATCATTTATCTATTTTGCAGTGCCAATGAACTGAGTAGATTCTTGGTTCATAAGGTCAAAGGTCATGGGCTCATTATGTATGCAAAAATAGCTTGTGAACGCATTCTCATTAGAACTGACAGATGGATTACTATTTAACTCAGGACATCTTGCAGAGCCAATGAACTGAGTAGATTTTAGGTTCATGAGGTCAAAGATCAAAGGGCCATATATGTATATGAGAAACTGCTTGTAATCATGATATTCTGAGAACCTGTTAATGAATTTGAAAAATTTCTTATGTTTTGGTTTGTAAAATTGCTCTATGATAGAGGCATCATTTTCGACTGCACGCAGACAAAGTTCCATCTAGTTTCTTCTGTGTTATTCAAAATATATGGATTATAGTAGC